GTCTCTCTCTCTCTCTCTCTCTCTCTCTCTCTCTCTCTCTCTCTCTCTCTCTCTCTCTCTAGGGGGGGGTGTCTGGGTGGGGGGGGGGGGGGGGAGGGGGGGGGGGGGGGGGGGGGGGGGGAGGGGAGATCGGGAGGGGGGGAGGGGGGGGGGGAGAGCAAGGAAGAGAAATAGAGAAGATTATGAGGGTGGTGGTGAGAGTATGGATAAAATTTCAGGACGATAGGGAGAAGAGAGATCTGTAAGGGTAGGGGGAGCAAGGCAGAGAAACAGCATTAACCATGATGGTTGGTACGCACCTAACTGTTACAGCAGTAAGTAGATGACGGGCTCGAATCGCCGTCCTCGTCAAGGACGCAGATGGATATAATAATGAGAGGGAGAAGACGAGGTAGAGCTCAGGAAATAGTGAAAAGGAGAAGTGAGAGATCAATCACCACACCTACCGTCTTCAGCCGAAAATAACGCCCGGGCGTTGTGTAAGAATATAACGCCCGTCGGGCGTTATATTCGTTTATAACGCCCGGGCGTTATATTCAGTAAATTTGTGGTAACTTCTGTGAGGCCCCAAAATTAAAAAAAAAAAAAAAATCAAAAAATTCTGAAAAAAAAAAAAGTTGTCCAGGGTTGGAATGCGACCAACTTTTGTCTGACGGTCACTTCAGAATTCCTTATAAACTCGGAAATAAAAAATAAAAACGAAAACTAGAGCCAAAATATACCCCTTGGAAGTCAAAACCCCATTCAACCCTCTTCAAAACCCATGTATACCCCCTTCCCCGCCCTTTAAAACCCATGTATACTACCTCTTCAAGGCACTCTGCCCATGGAAGATTCGAATATAACGCCCGGGCATTCTATTCGAATATAACGCCCGGGAATTCTATTCGAATGTAACGCCTGGGCGTTCTATTCAAAGGGGCATTCTATTTGGAAAAAAAGTGAGTAAGAACGGAAATCTCATATTTTAAGGGTAAGTTGAATATAACGCCCGGGCGTTATTTTCAGGTGAAGACGGTAGCAGCCGATGCGGATGTTTAAGAAAAATGGAAAAAAAAAGGAACAGACGGGTATTAGGGAGCGTAGGAGGTAAACAGGTCGCTTTTCTGCGACTAGGAAGAAGAAGACGGAGAGAGGTCTTTGGCGGAAGTCAGGTGGAAATTCTCCGGGGAGCGGGAGAAAGGTAAAATGCCAGCCTCAGGGAAAAAAGCCAGTCTCGGGAAAAAAATAATTAGCCTCGGGAAAAAGCCAGCCTCAGTGAAGAGTATGAACGAGTGAAGTAGTAAGGATAAAAACTAACAATGAAATAGAAAATGAAAAATATGATCAAAAGAAAATAAAAAATCAAAAATAAAATGGAAAATAAACGATTGTTCTTCGGGAAGGGGGGGAAGGGTAAAATACCAGCCTCGGGAAAAAAAAAGCCAGCCTCGGGGGAAAAAAAAGCCAGCCTCGGGGAAAAAAAAGCCAGCCTTCGGGAAAAAAGTCAGCCTCGGTAAAAAAGCCAGCCTCGGGAAAAAGAGCCGGCCTCGGTGAAGAATATGGACGAGTGAACTAGTAAAGGAAAAAAATTAACAATGAAATAGAAAGTGTAAAATAAAAGACGATAAAAAATGAAAACTGAGATGAAAATAAACGAGTGGACAAGGTTTGATAGGTTGTCGAGCGCCAGGAACGGTTGCTGAACTAGAACCGAAAAAAAAGAAACCAAAAAAAGGAATGCTTGAAGTTTAACATAGATGTAGATTTAAAAAAAAAAAAACACAGATGTAGATTAAAATAAAAAACCCACACGTGTACAGGAAATCAGGAAGGAAGTGTCCTCCGTAGTATCCGTTAAAATTGGAACGATGTGTAGAAGGTTAGGCATATAGGCATAAGGGAAAAAAAAAAGCATGGCCCGGGGCGGAGTTAAGGAACGACATGCACAGATCGAGGAGGACCAAAAAAAAAACCTGAAAGATAAAGAAGTAACATGAACAGTAACTTAACACGTGGTGACGGGGAGACGAGGAAGGAGCTATGGGGGTATGGTTGGCTGTTGGAGTTTTAGTGGGAAACAGGAGGCGAAATGGGAAAAACTTGTATATAGTCTATGGGAGAGCTGGTAGGAGATGAGGCAGTAATAGTGAGGCCAAGAAGAAGAGGAAGAGGACAATGGTAAAGAAGAAAAAGAAGACGACAACGAAGAAGAAGATGACGACGAAGAAGAATGACTACTCCGAAGACGCGAAGAAGAATAGTGAACAGTGAAAACAAGGGCCAACTGCCTTCCGTACGCGCTTCTCAAGTTCTTCATTACATAACCGCACGTACTGGTAGTCTCAGCTTACGCGCACATTCCCGGACACACTTTTCGATCGGCTGCGCTCGGATCATCCTCAGGATAAGAGGGAAGATTGGGAAGAAAAAGAAGTAGACAAAGTAGTAGGAGGAGGAGGAGAAGAAATATGGGGGTGGTTAACAAAGAAAGGGGAAATGGGAGGAGGGAAGCTGTGGGATTTTAATACTAGTAACAAGAACGAGAATATCAATGATGGTAGCAGTTACCGTCACTCTGACAAACCTCCAAGAACAACGAGAATGAGATGTCATGATGATAAAACGAAGAAGAAGAAAAGGAAGAGAAGAAGAAGAAGAATTACATTTTCGTCCATGATCGGATCTCAAGAATCGCACACACGACCTCCCTCATCAGTGTTGCACGCTTAACAAAACGGCTAAGGCTAAGCTGACTGGGTTGAAAGTTAAGCCCCAAGATTGGGACTTAACCCCACCCCAGCACGGATTTCCCGCGTCTTGGTGTACTCAGGCACACTCACACCTGACCCAAGAAGAAGCAGCAAAGAAGAAGAAGAATAGTGAATAGTGAAAACAGGGGCCAACTGCCTTCCGTACACGCTTCTCAAGTTCTTCATTACATAGCCGCGCGTACTAGTCTCAGCTTACATGCACATTCCCCGTGTGTTTCGATTGGCTGCGGTCCAATCATCCTCAGGGGTTTTTCCGCACAACCATGCCTTGCGGCCCGCTGACTTCCCTCCCGCCTAAGAAGCTGAAGCAGAAGCAGAAGCAGAAGAAGAAGAAGAAGAAGAAGAAGAAGAAGAAGAAGAATAGTGAAAAAACAGTGGCCATGGACTGCTTTTCGTACACACATCGATAAAAAAAATCATTACTTCTCCGGGAACAGTCCTCAGTTGAAACACACGAATTCCCTGATGTGTTTCGGCCAGGCTGCGCTCCTGGCACTCCTCAGGGGGGGCTTCTCCCCAGGTTCGCCTGCAAACAGTCCTCAGTTGAAACATGCAAATTCCCCGACGCGTTTCGGCCAGGCTGTGCTCCTGGTGCTCCTGGCACTCCTCAGGGGGGCCTTCTCCCCAGGTCCGCCTTATGGCAGCACCCAACATTCCGATCATTCTTAGAATAGAGGGCTGACGGTCTTGCCCTCTTGATGTACTGATCATGTGCGTGCAATAAGAATAGTGCATAGTGAAAGCAGCGGTTAACTGCCTTACACGCGGACAAACAGTGGGCATACATCCATTGGGAGTTATGTCTAGTCTAACGAGTGGAAATAGCTAGGCCAGCGGTATGCGTCCATGCCCACAAAGTAAGCCTGACAACACCCACACAGACTTATACAGAAACGAAGAAGAAAACGAAGAAGAAGAAGAAGAAGAAGAAGAACAGAGTAAAGAAATCGTGACCAAGGCGAATCGTTCGTCAATCAAGAAGAAGTCGTTACCGGATCTTCACGGATATGTCAACAACGCTCTCAACGCGCACTTCCCCGATGCGCTTCGGCTGGTAGCGCACCAACACTTCTCAGGGGACAAACCACACACCCAAGACCCACCAGATGTTCCTTGCAGAGTGTAGAAGGCAGCTCAGGCAAAAGGAGACGCAGGCAGCGGAGGAAGAGATTGCTCAAGGAGGTGCTGAAATTGCTTGCAATTGCTCGAGGAGCTCATCTGAGATAGCGAGAGCCAACAGTCACAAAAACAATCGACGCACTTTTTCAGCACGCGATCCCGACTTGTCATGAGCAGACCGCTGGCCTCGATCGCGTTGGCATCTTCCTCGATCAAGCTTATCCTCGATCGTGTTGGCATCTTCCTCGAAGTCACACACACACACACACACACACACACACACACACACACACACACACACACACACACACACACANACACACACACACACACACACACACACAGAGAGAGAGAGAGAGAGAGAGAGAGAGAGAGAGAGAGAGAGAGAGAGAGAGAGAGAGAGAGAGTCTTCGAGCCATTAATTTGTACCTTTCGGTGAGTCCAACCACGATGCATGCACTGACCTTTCGGTGAGTCCAACCACGATGCATGCACTTCTAGTATAGGGGTGTCGGGTTCATCCTTAAGCATTCTACTGGGCAGTCCTTGGCATAACCTTTCAAGATCTGAGAGCGAAAAAATTGCTGCTGTTTGCTCTCCATCGCTCCCCTTCCCCCCCCCTCGGCCCCTCCCCCCGGCCCCCCCCTTGCACCCTCTGTGGATGGAAGGGTCATTATATCTGTATGCAGGACAATTTTCAGCTCAGGTGTTGATATGATGACCGCTCATTATATTCTGGAAAAGTCGGCAAATGTAGCTATGGTAGCAAGAGGTATAGACCACGGGCTTATTTAGAGCCTCTCTCTTCCCCCCTTGTCTTCCATCTCCTTCCCTCGATCCCTCCGTATGTCCCTTTTCTATCACCTCTCTTTCTTCCTCGTCCTCTTTTTTCTCCTTCTTGCTCGTTCTCCCTCTTCTCCCTCTCCGTCTCCCTCTCCTTCTGCCACATGTCTGTTGCGAGATATGGCAAGCAGTGCTAGAGCAACATTTTACTTCTGTTTGTCTTTTGTTTGTTAAATTTAAAAGTTAAAACCATATTGAAAAACACATTTTTTACGAAGTCCTGACCTAATTGCATTTCCTTCTCCTAATTGCTATTTGTGTGTGATTTTGTTGTGTTGTCCAAAGGAAAGTTAGCCATGGCTCTTCCATCCAGTAACAACGGGGACGCAGATGATGAACTGGCAAAGGAGATTGATCGGATCAAGACGGCGGAGGAAGTGGAAGAGCGAACAGCTGAAGCTGCCGCCACTTTTGGGTATCGATATGACTCGCCAGAAGACAGGGAAGAGATTTCTATGCAGAGGAGGTGGCTGATCACATAGACCCTTAAACTCGTTATGATGAGTTTCCTTTATCTTCTTCAGAAAATCCTTCAACCTTCCGTGTTCCTTTCCCCCATTCTGTCTCTGTTAAGCTTGGATGGGCCACCTGTCACCTTGTGGCCTGCTTGCCGGCAGTCGTTCAGTGTGGTGCCTGGATGATATCTGTGGAAAGCCTTACTGCATGATGCAAGTCAATGCGATGCTGTGGCTAATAGGCAATGGATCTCTCTCTCTCTCTCTCTCTCTCTCTCTCTCCCTCTCTCTCTCCCCCTCTCTCTCCTCCTCTCTGTCCTTCTCGCTCCCTCTCTCCCCCTCTACCCTCTCTCTGTCCCTCTGCCCCTCTGTCTCTCTCTTTCTCTCTCTGTGTGCTGACTCTATCAGCCGTTGCATTGGTCAGTTCCCTGATGGTCTGACAGTTTGTAATGCATGGTTGGATGGATCTCCAAATTGACACTCACCTCCATTCAGCGGATATCCACTGCAAGCCACATTCCTGTGGCCAGGCAGACAAACTAAATCCTTTCCACCCAAGAGGCCGTTTTGGTACTTTTTCTTCCCTTTCCCTCCGTCCTCTCTTCCTCTCCTCCACTTCCAGCCTACTGCTTTTTTCACTGTTTTGCGTTTTGGATTTTTATTAATGATGTCCTTGTGTCCATGCTATATCGTCATACATCTTGCTGCTCTCTTCCCAGCTTTCTATTGCGTTCTTCTACTCTTTATGCCACCGGACCATCCCCGCCTGTACGGACATGTGGCCGAATCAGAAAGGCCTGGGTCAACGTCCGTTGGGTGCTGGATTTGTATGATGGTTGGAGTGTGAATGTGTGAATGACTTAAACGAACTTAAACCTGAGCATGTCTCCAGTGGTGTGGGGGGGAGTGAGGGGTAGGAAAGCAAGTGGTTATGTATTGGGGGGGGGAGGGGGGAAGGAATTGGCAGAGGCTGTGGGGCCGAGGGAGAAGGGTCTAAAGGTGGATTGAAATCTCGAGGAGATGTAAACTAAGATAAGATGCTTGGAGAGCATGCTTAGAGAGCATGAATCTGATTGTAAAGCAGGACGGACACATGCTCGCACAGCATGCTAGCGGCAGTGTGGCCTGGCCCAAAGAAGCTATTGATTGGTGATTTGGAACCTCTGCTACCTCCTGGACAATCAGGCCGACCTCTGCAGACAGACAAAAAAGACCTACGTCGCCGCTGGATTGTCAATCCAACTGCCCAACTGAAAAGGTTGTGCCTCCAGGTAACCAGGGTGGTTGTAAAAGGAAAGTGGTGGTTTAAACCTGAGATATCTTATGGATGTACCTGACCTTATACTCGTTTTCATTCCTTGGATGTCTATGTACTATCAGGGCATTGGCTGTGAAAGGAAAGTGGTCGCTTAAACCTGAGATATCTTATGGATGTGCTTGATCTTATATCGTTGTTCCCGTTCCTTGGGATGTTTATGTGCTATCGGGGCAGCTTTGGAATGGGTGAATATAGAGGGGAAACTTTTGGGTGGTGGTTTGGTGGAAGAAGGGGGGGGGGGGGGGGGGGGGGGGGGGGGGGGGGGGGGGTCGAAGATATTGGAGTGGTCGAACCTGATACAGATCCAATCTCATGCTCGCTTTTTTACTCCTTGGGTATTCCTGTATCATCAGGGAAGCTTGGGAATGTGTACAGACTACAGGGAGGAAGATATTGGAGGGGTTGAAGCTGATGCAGTCCTAATGCGAAACTCGTTATTCATGCCTTTGATGTTGATGTACCATCAGGGCAGCTTGGGATTGGGTGAAGACCGTGGGTATGAAAATATTGGAGGGGTCGAACCTGACACAGATCTCACTGCCTGTTCGGTTATTCGAGCCGCGCTCATTCCTCGAACGACTTACAGATAACTGGTCTTATATTGATTATCTCAGTAAGGCGGCTGTCTGCACCGACCCTGTGCTCCGTTTCAAGTAAGTTATGCCTCTGAACCCTTGATGCATTCTGGTCGCTTATGGTGGTGGGTGGGCAACGTGAGATGTAATTGTGTGTGTGTGTGTTGGGGGGGGGGGGGGGGGGGGGGGGGGAGGAGGGTGGGAAGGGGGGGTTGCACACTTTATGTAGCTGAATTGCGTACGGACTTAAATAAGTTCTGCCTCTGAAGAGTCTGAAGTTCTCTGAACCCGTAATGCTTGCCTTTTTTTCCCCTCTCCTTTTTGTTTTATTGCACATGGTGGTAATGCTTTCTTAAACCGCCAGTACACAGCCCCAGCCTTGCTGAAAAGTGGTCTGTTTTGGGGGGTGGATGGGGATTGGAATTGCATTAGAAAACCCTTCTCCGAGAGTACCTGACCGGTGTACACAGTCAGACATATGATCTTTATGTATGGATGTGACAGATGCAATTGCAAAATTAACAGGGGTTGTTTCAAAATTTCCTCTTTTTCATTTGGATTCCTTGTTGGGACTAATGACTCATTTGTCAAACTGTTTGAGGTCTGTAGCTTATGGCTGATGAGTCTGTGATGACTAACCAGGGTGTCTGATGTTGTTTTTTCCTTTTTTTCCTTGATGTTCTAGTGGATGGGTGAGTGGGATGCTAATGCCATAGGCTGTCTGGCAGTGCCTGTAGTGTTTTTTTTTTTTTTCCTTCCCCGAAGGCTCTATGCAGTTCTTTTCTAGGCTACCAGAGTGGCCTGGGTCCACTTGCCTGTCCAGGCCAAAAACAAATATTGAAAAAATAAATAAATTAACAGGCTGTTTTCCACGATTGCCACATTTTGATTTTGGGCATGTCCTCGATGTGACATGGAAAGAGTGCCATGGCTGCCGGATGGCTTAAAAGTGCCAACGCACTGGACACGCTTGTATGTTGCATGGCGCGTGTGTGCCTGAAGGAAAATGGCCAATCAGATTTCTGATCCGGCTGCGACTTGTGGGCGGAGCCATAATTATGCAAAGATCTGGTCCAACCCGGATCGAGATTGGAACCGCAACGGCAAGATCCATGCAAAACAAGCACATACAGAGGTTAATTACAACTTGAAATGGTATACACAGTTCTTTCAAGCTGGCGGCTATGGCTGCCGGCAACAACAATGAGCAGGTAAGTTACGCTCTCTCTCTCTCTCTCCTATTTCTCTCTCCCTCTCTACTACCACTACTAACTACCTCGCTCAGGTCCTATTACTCTCTGAATGACCTTGCTGCTCTTCCTCTCTCTTTACCGCTGCACTCAAGCTCACAGCACTCTTCCGGCACTCTGCACGTTCCAAGATCTTGGTGCCCATGCAACACTGCAGCTCTTCCGCATCTCTGAGAGAATCGAAGAAGAGGAGGTTCCTGACGTTTGGCCTCCCTTTTGTGCTTATCCCTCTGCCTCCCTTGTGATTCCAGACTCTCCCTGCCAAGCCCTGCCACGGCCGACAGAGATTCCGTCTGTTGTGACCTTTCCCTGGGACTGAGCTGCAATGGAACCGGGACTGGACACGTGGCCTTTCCCTGGGACTAAGCTGCAATGGAACCGGGACTGGACACGTGGCCTTTCCCTGGGATTGAGCTACAATGGAACCGGGACTGGACATGTGGCGCCTACCTACTGACTTTCAGGGCCTTCTACCATTCCTACCGGTCTTATCCTAGTAGATCTCTATTTTGGTCCGTGCAGTACCTACTGGAAAGTTCTAGGAAATGGGACACAGTACAGGGGCCGTACTGCGGCAGTACATGAATCCTTTCAATAAACCCGACAGGTTGTGAAAACCCAGATGCCCGACTGGTACAGGTGGTCTGTTGAAGCTAGCGTGGACTCTTTGTGAGCTGTTGTGTCATTGTCGGTCGATGTATTCTGCATTAAACAAATCGTGAGAATGCACGCGGTGTGGTTAAGTCATTCCTTCAAGACTTCTCCTATCATCATCCTTGGGCCTTTAATCAAGATCTGAAGGATTTCCTGGTCTGGTGAGGGAGATGTTGCTGGGGCGGAGGACCCTCTTAAATACTGGCCATTGATCTTCATTGTTATCCATATGGCCATTATATCTTCTAATCCGTGAGAATGGGGTCTTCCCCCCTGCGATGGAGTAGGGGTCATGTGTTCCTGCTGGGGTAGTTTTCTGGTAATTATTCTTTTCTGGTTGAATTTCTTGATTATGTAGTAGTTGCCTGGCACGTCGTGAATGGTAATAAAAAAGATTTAGAAGCCCAATGGTAAAAGACATGCAGAAAAGGAAAGAAAAAAGGAAAAAAGAAGGAAAAAAGAAGAAAAGAAGAAGGGAAAAAAAAAGAAGAAAAGAAGAAGAAAAAAAGGCGTGTCAAACTGTCAAACCACTGGGTTAAGAGTTTGAGAACTTCCAATCCTGTCTCTGCTCTGTGATTCAAGGGGCTGTCTTCTTGAAAATGTTTTTTTTTTCTCCAGCGTGTATGTGGTCATTCAAATAAAAGCGAAACGGTTGAGATGTAGTTGTTGGAAAAGTTGGGGTCCCTCTCAATTTGGTCTAAATTGCCCTAAAATTCTGAATTTGACTCTGAGATGATCTTGCGATGTGGCGTTGCATAGGTACGTCATCGCGTTTGCCGTTTCTGGCTTGTCAAAGCAAACGACCGCAGGCAAGCCTTTCAACCCGATACTGGGTGAGACTTACCAGGTATTTTTTCAGCAAGAAGCATACTTTTTTTTTTTCTTTTTTTTTTTCTCGTGGGAAACAATGTCACGGCAAGCTTTTTATGCTAAGCTCTTCATTGAGGATGGGAAAATTTTCAAAAAAGGGGAAAAAAGAAGAAGAAAAGAAGAGTGCATGAGCATTGCCATTTCTAGCTAGTTTTTTGTAATTCCTGTAAATCCATAGTGCTGTGAGTAATTACTAATTTTCCTACCGTCTTCACCCGAATAGAACACCCGGTAATCATTGGTGCATCTGGACTGTGCATCTGGACTGGAAGTTGCCCAAAGTACACAACTATAATGACCGGGCTTTCCATTCGGGTGAAGACGGTAGGAATTTGCCTTTCTATGTGTTTGGTCAATATTTTTACTCGACGAAACAGTTTGTATTTTTGGGTTTGGTATTTTTCTTTCCTGAGGGTCAGGCCCTGCTGGTGCTATGTTAATTCCAGGGACATAGGAATCCGGTTGCTATTACGACCATGTTCGTGCTTTCCAGGCAAGCATGAACATGGTAGGAGAGGGGACTGACCCCAAGGAAGGGCGATCGGGTTGCCATGGGCCAGAGTAGTGACTGGGTTCTTATTTCCTCGTTGCTACGGAAGGGCCAGAAGTAAGGTGCTACTGAGCTGTGTCAAGGTCATTGTTAGGAAATCTGACAGTCAGAATGAGATGGTAAAAATCAGCCGCAGCTAATCAGCTTTGGAACTGAGGCATATACATAGCTCAGTGGGGCGGCTGATGCCCCTCCTACAATAAAAGGGCAAACCTTACTTTTGCCCTGTTCTTTGGAGAGGGGTAGCTTTTGTCTCTTGGAATGGGGTGGAGGTCAATTTTGGCCTAGGAGTGGGGGGTGGTGAGTGGGTGGCTGAAGAGGAATACATGAGAAGGGAAAGCTGACAGTCAATCCCTCCTGTAACAGGGAGTAATCAATGCAATCAGGGATCCTTCGGCCGAATGGAGGATGCACGAGTGTGTGCAAGATGTATACAAATGATTGACTTAGCCGGGGGAATAAGAACTGGAATGATCCGCCCCAGAATGGATATGGACTATTATGGAGCCAGGACCATAAGGCCCTTGGAAAAAAAAAAAAAAAAAAAAAACCCCCCCCCTGCAGAAAAGTAAACAAGAGGCTGCTCGCACCAATCGGTGATGTTCTTGGGAGAGCTGAACGCCACCTTCCACCGTTGTTGCACCTGTGGTAGCATGCGCATGAGATACTTCTGCCACTATGAATAGCGGTGGATCTATCTTCCGGCCTTGTATGGGAAAAGATTAACTCGCCACTTTTGACATCTCGCGAGTAGTGCTGCGGGGCCGATTACCCATTTACCATTCTGTGTCCTGATTGGAGTTGCAAGGACAGAGCCACATTCGACACGTTTTTTTCTTTTTTCTTTTTTCTTTTTTCTTCTTCTTCTTTTTTCTAAAGGGCGACGTCGATGAGATATCATCGTTGAACTGACCAGCCCCAGGCAATTCAGAATGATTTTATTCTGGTCATCTAATTGTATGTGGACTCGAACTTGGGTCTGCATTTCAGCAGTTCGTGGGTGTACCAACTGAGCTAGGCCCATTGGTACAAGGGTGACGGCCATGAGATATCATCGAGATATGATCGGGGAACTGACTGGCCCCGGTTAACTCAAGAATTTCATTCATCTACTTCCATCTGGATTTGAACTGAGGTCTGTACTTCAGCAACGTTTCAAGAGAGATTGTGACGTGCTTGCAACACTCGTAGCCACGACGTTACCCCCTTTTCAGCCTAACCAAGTGTTTTTGTTACGATCCTGGCCAATTTCAAGGTGCAAAATCACGAGAAAGCACAATGCCGTCCAATTGCAAAAGAACTGAATGAACTTGAGAGGAGAGGGAGATTAAGAAGAAGAAGAAGATGTACACCAGCAAAGACCAATGATAATCCCCCTTCTTCTTGCCAACCAAACTCTCCTCCTTTCCTCCTCCCCTCTTATTCAACAATAAATAAGAATAATAATGATGAATGACAGAACCAGAATCAATGCCCCAATCCCTCTTCTACTGCCAGCACAACTTGAGGTACACCATAGCCATGGACGCCCTTCTCCTTCCTCTTCATAGGCCGAGGCTATGACGGACTAGGGCCCTGCCCTGACGTGCAAAGGATAACACAAAGCCGCTATGGCTGCCTCCACTCAGGCTGCCATGCCTGCCTCTGCCTCGAAGCTTCTTGGTGTAGCCCTACCCGCCAACGGGGCCTTCCAGATGCATTGCCCACCAAGGTGATGAAGATGGCATCCACCATGGCCAGGTAAGTACCCAGGCGCTCCCCTACCCTAGTCCCCTTCTTCCTCCTCCTCCCACCCGAGCTCCTTGAGCATAACCACGGTGGGGAGCTGGGCGCTCCTCGTCTTCCCCAGCACTGGACTCAGCAGCGCTCCAACCAGCGCTCCAGCAGCGTGACGTCCAAACTTGCATGCAGCAAACGAGGAGCACTTCGCCCCTCCTGGAGGTAAAGCGGCCAACTTGCCTCTTGGGCGGTGACACCGGTACTTCCTCCCTTTGGGAGGGAAACATCATTGCAGACTTTGATATTGCCCGTACAGGCCCTAGACTCAGACGACTGGGACTGGTACCCGCCTGGGCCTAGCCTACAACTACTGGGCCTCTAAAAATGCCAACTTTTGTCTTCTTCCGCTCGGCCTCCAGTCCCCGACACATCTACCGCTACTTGAGTGGTACCGGCCTACCTGCTACTTGAGTGTTTTTCCTCGCTGCTGAACTTGAGTGTTTTTCCTCGCTGCTGAACTTGAGTGTTTTTCCTCGCTGCTCAAGTGTCGTGGGCCTCCTCCCGCTGAGTGTTTTCCCCGCTGCAACCCACAATGTCATGGACACAGGTAAGTACCGACCCTACGGGGCCTCGCAAGCAAAGTGAGTACCCTTGCACGTCACACACACACTCAAGCCGTCAAGCACTCAGACAGGCACACAGACCAGCAAACACGTACACACACAGACTTAGAAAACTCTTGAAGAAAGCGGGGATCTCAGCAAGGCATTCATTCCAGCGGCAACACTCAGAAAAGCTGTGTTCTCAGTCAGTGTTTGGGCAGGTCCTTACACTTTTCCTGGACGTATGAAGTATTATAAACCGAAATCTTGGTAGCTGTATTGTTTTTGTGGGCTATGTGCAATTTTACGCAGATTAATTTGTGGTACCTTACCTTCTGTGTGCCCACCCAACACATCCTATTCCTCGGCGCCTAAAGTCGGGGTCATGAGTGTGGATGATGGTTTGAAAGGGATGGTGGGAGATGCGTCACCACGCACCCTGCAAAAACATCAAGACGACTGTGGCAGACAGTACCAGATAGAGGTTCGGCTGGTGGTTCGGACACTACATTTCAGAGACAGTAAAGCGTCTGAAGACTCCAAACATGACCATTTGGTGGACTCTTGAGATAAACACACATACATGCTTGCCCTTGGTGTAGAATCGACAGTCTCAGACGTGTCTGTTTAAATTGAACCACCACTGCCCACCAGTCGGTGATGGTTCTGGTGTCTGGTTTCTCATGCGTGGCTAAAAAAGATGGTGTTATGGTCCTACTCCATTCATAGTGCTGCCGCCGCCTCAAATGATCAGTTCATTTCAACCACGAGTATTCCCCCCCCTTTACTGCCAGCACTGAAAGGGCTCTCCTTTTAGCGCCAACCTCGCTCCTCTCCTCTTCAGCTGCATCTCTATCTATGGCGGCTCATCCATGTGCATCACGGATGTTCAGAGGGCAATGCGACGACTGTCTTGTCTCTCTCAACTCATCCCGCCATAGCCACACTCTCGCTCGGACGAAGTCCAAGATGAGCCTGTACCCACACAGGGTCCTTCTAGATGCACACCATCCAAGAACTAGAGATGGAGGTCCGCCATAGCCAAAGGTGAGTCCCGATGTTGGTTCCTCTTTCTCTTCCCTTTGCAATCTGTACGCCCTTCCTCTACCCTTCTCCATAGCCGGGCATGAGGCGCTTCATCCTCTACCTGCAATGCCTAGGCCTACACCCTATTACTACTACATAACCATGGAGGTCTTCTTCCTCACCCTCCAGCTCCACTGCTCAGGAGGAGCTCTGCCTAACTTCACCCTCTGGGCAGAGCAGCACCATGATTGCCGGGTAATATGTGCCTGCAGTCATTGTGGCTGAATGATATCCTCTTGCAATGCGGCCTCCGGCCGCCCTTGGCCGCAGCACTACTGCCTCTTCCAGTGTGCCAGGTCTACCAGAAGTTCATGTCTTTTGGCAGGAACATCATTGCAGCCTCCATTTTCTACTTCAGGACCTGAATTTAACTTACCCGCTATCGAGGTAGGGCCCCTGACTACTCAATGACCTTCTTGGAAGCTGCCGGCTCCTTCTAGGCCTGCCGGACATCAGTTGGGCCCACCCGAGTTGCTGGAAGATCCCTTCCGAGTACCAAGCTATGAGGCAAATTCTACTTGTGAGTCGTGACCCTGTCCGTCCTGGTCTTTTTTGAAGTCCGTCTGGTGTCCAATTTCAGTCCTATCCCTGTGGTTCCCCTGTTTTCAAACTACCCCTTCCCAGGACACAAAAAACACAGGGCGGGAACACAGTTAGTACTCCGCATAGCAATCATCAAGTAGGGACTTGCACACATGCAAGCAAACAGCACTCTTGCTCAGAACACGGACATCTCAGTAAATCAAACGAGCAAGCACGAGTACTCAGAAAACTGCAAAATCTGAGACTGGTTCTGTGGAGTGTGCAGGTCATTACAATGGAAAGAAGGGGGGGGGAAGGGGGGGGGGGGGAGAGAAGAACTGGAAAGCTTGGAAAATACAGGACACGAAAGAAAAGCGTGCCTTTCGCCTTTTTAATCCGTTTTAACTTTCCAAACTTTCCAAGCCATTTGGACATAATGCAATCAGACTCGTTTTCAAACACACTTTTCACACATGTAAACAGTAACGCAGCATACTG